GCAATCAGCTGTTCACAGTTTCTCATGAGAGTTTCCTAAGCGATACAAGATTAAGACGGAATCCTCAAAAATTGAACAAATTTAATTTAAAGAAGAGTTTCAGTGAAAAAACGAAGCCAAAAGAGTGAATATCATAAAATAGAGGACAAAAGAAGAAACTAAAGATATCTATAATCAATTTGAGGAAATAAATTCAATTTATTAGCATAGCACATCAAGATCCAATTCTCAGAAAACTTTAAGTGATTTAAGGAACAGTTTCATGATCCCGGATAAGAACCAAAGTTACACAAGCAGGTTACCTTCGAAGCGACTTCATTTTTCAAAACTTTCTCTGCTTCTCGCAGCTTTCTTTCGAAGTCTTCTAGTTGTTTAGAGGATACTGAGCTCTCTTCAGATGACCTGCAATAAACCATGGATAGTCACAGAGGGTAAGAAAGGAGAACAACAGCAAAAAAAAATTTGAAATTTAAGACACTACTGCAAATCAAGCGAACCCACTTATTTGATTTTACGAAAACTTGTCAGTATAACTAAAAAATTTCTATTGTGCAAAAAAAGGAGACGTTATGGAGCCTTTATGCTACTGCTCACTCCTATGATATTGATTTGCTATAAAAAATGTGCTTGATCATTGTTATGATTCCTTCTGTACTGTATGATAATACTAGAACTAGATCATACTTCCGCAATTGCACAATTTCCTCTTCCTTTGTTTCAAGTTCACGTTTGGCTGCTGCCAATTCTGCCTCTGTTTCTTCTAGTAACTTTGCCATCTCTTCATTTTCTTCCTTCAATCGCTCCGACTTAGTTGCATCCTGGAACAAATTTAAAATTCCTCAGCTCACTTTAATTACCTCAGAAATATCGTAACCTGTGTGGCTAGCATCAACGATTGCAGTGCAGCCGCTTTCATATGCAACTCTTTTTTCGTTTCCTCAATTTCCATCTGCATCTGTCGCTTCTCACGTTCATTTTGATGTTTAGCTATTTCATTTTCAGTCCTAGCCTTCTG